TTTATTTATTTATTTATTTTTTTTTTGTCAATCGGTTACTCATTTTATTCTCTGCATACCCTCAGCCCCCCGCCACTGCAAAAGGGACAATCCCCGGGATTGTTAGGGATCCGAAAACGTTGACGCACTGAGCCCTGTGCAAATCCAATAACCAGTCGGATGATGATGAAAATAATCATTTATACGTTGATGTTAAAGAGAAAGTGAAAAAACCCTCAGTGACCTTATGATGTCTAATTTATTTCTAATGATGAAGGACGGGAAAAAATTCATGGCCAGGTGTACATAATACTACAACAAACACAATAAATAGTCAATCGGTGTGGCGGTGGTCGTACGCTCAACTGCGGAAATGCTCTGAGTGTACGTACCGGCTGGTTTTGCTAACTTCTGGATGGGTGACCACCCRGGTTTTTATAGCAACAAATCCTTACCACACATACAAAAAAACGTGTTCCGACCAACCGTACCCTCTCTAACAGTTGAAAAACCTACTGAATATAACCGTCTAATGGCCCATGTCGATGCGAGTTAGTTAATAAAAAAAAAAAAAAAAAAACAATACAATAATAAGGTACTCACCCTGACTCTGGCCTCTGTAAGGTTCGTCCACATGGCTATCTCTTCCCTAGTGCTCATGTCCGGGTACCGGTTTCTGGTGAACGTGGCCTCCAGTTCCTGAAGCTGCTGTGAAGTGAAATGCGTCCTCTGTCTCCTCTGTCTTTTCGTGTTTTTGTTATTTTTAATGTTGGCGTCTTTGCCGTCGTCGGTGACTACGCCAACTCCCGTGTCTAAACCTTCAGTTTTTATACCGGTAGCACCRATCGTGTCCACCCGCCCTGAAAGAAAATTCACATTTAAATTGATTTAATATATTTTTTTTAATCTCAGGGTAAACGGTTTTCACATCCGATTATTATACCAACATGGAAATATGCCTCTACTGTTATTATTGGTTTGCACCCGAAATAAAATAATCTGCAATGTTATTGCAAAGATATATGTAAATGTTTGAAAACCGTTTTATAGTTTATTGGTTCAAATGGTTCGATTACCAACTATATAAATCATAATATTTATAGTATCATGTACATATAACTCACCTTTTCTGTCTCGGTTTCTACTCCTGGATGAACCAAAATTAAGCTGTGACGTATGATCCGTAGAAAGGCCATGATGATTGTTATCACGGAAGTCTCCCGTCTCCGCCCACACTGGAATCATATTTTATACTATACTCTAATAACAGTTATTTAATATTTGACACAAGTTAAATAGAAGTTTTTTTAAACGCAGTCATATATATCGATTACACAATCAGTAGTATATATATATATAAATGTTTATTCCCTGCTGTATGTATAATAACGGTTGAAGTATTTGTTTGCATTTCTTCGCACTCAATTTATTGATAATACACGAAACGATAATTTTTCTCGTATATTTATTTGTTGGCCCACTTCAACATATTCTAATCTAATAATATACATCAAACATCATTCATAAAAAAAAGATGTCAAAGGATGACATGTTTATCAATAGTAAAATTTTACAAGTCGTAGGTATGCGTTTTAATTTTTAACAATAAAATAAAATTATCATGGCATAATTTACATAATATAAAATTATAAAGCATTTAAGTACAATACAGGTCAATAATTGAACTATAATATTTCATAATAATATTACAATAATATAAAGAATATTAAAATACAAAAATACATTTCTACTGTATAATATAAGAAGCCAATATTTATTTTATAAAATATCTATGAAAATTGTCTTAAATTGCATTTGCATTTTTTAAACAGTTGTTTAATTTGTTATTGCACGTGTTGGAAATCGTAATCTAACGGAAAAATTAATACCAATGTAGGCTATATTATTTGCTATAATGACGTAGATAACATAGTCACACAGATYTCATAAAAAGAAAAATGTACATAAGYACACATCGAAGTTTCGCTGGAACGTTTCTTCGTTCTGTCAATCATGTGTCTTTTTTTCTCTTAACATCACATTCATTTGTTGTTCTACATTTATTTGAACAGATTGTGTAATAATAAAAAAAAAAAAAATTATAGTACAGGATTTATAACATTATTTACCATACCAATCAATTATAATTGATGGTTATTGTGGTGCATATAGCTATGGAAAAATGTACGAACTCATCGTTTATAACAATATTAAGCGGATACAACAATTAAACGAAATACATGTTCGGTATATGTAGTCGGTCYACATTAATAACTATAACTTATAAGTGTACATAATTTATTGTGTATTTGAGGATAACACATATCGAGTACACATCCGTCCTTCGCACGTTTATATACTGATGTATAGACTTTATTAGACTCTTGAGTTATGTGCTCGTCTCCGTCGGGTGAACCGGCTTAGAGTCACGTACCGAAATCCACTTGGTTCGCCAAATAACGACCGCGGCTATTTTCGTATCCGCGTAAATTACATCTTCGAATCGTTTCCTCTCTCACTATTATATATATATATATATATATATATATCTCATACACACAGACACAGACGTCATTATATATTTATACGTGTGATATTCTCAACGCGCACGATATGATTTGTGTCACAAACTGCCATCGGACATGGGTGGTTGGTGGAGGGRAAGGAACTCACACATATTATACGCACGCCGCCGTGGTCGTTGTCGGAGTGATTTATCGGCTTACAAGTTGTAAACAGCTGTTTTAACACGTATAATCGACCGACTATTAGCGGTGCTCGTCTCGTTTTTCTCGCGCGCCCAACCCCCGCGACGATAAAATATATCGACGACAAGTAAGTGCGCTATTACCGCTATATAAATATACGTTTAGCCTTTTAGGTATATATAATATGTCGTGAGTGCGCATTTATATAGCTATATATACTATACTACTGTCGAAGACGCGCACGCGTATATATTGTATAATGTAGAACTATATAATATGTTTCTTCGGGACAAAAATCCCGGCAGCGACGGGCGGCTGATGGGTCACGAGATCGGCTTACAGGAAGTTACGGAATACACCGGTTTGTGTGGGTCGAGGGTGCGGAGAGCGGGTAAGGGAAAAAACGTGACCAAATCACTCCATCCAAAACGTATATACGACTTAAATACATGGGTGTGTATGTGTATGTGTGGATATTACATATATATACACAACGATCTGTGTTCACATCAGACACGTGGTTGATATTCGGTGGCAATTTGTTTTTCTTTTTTTTTTCGGTTGCTTATCTCATAAATCATGTTAAAAACATCAATGTGCGTGGTCTTTCTTATCGGTGAGAACTATATTACACCGTATATAGTACCTAGTATATATATATACCTAAATATCTACTCCCCCCCTCCAAACGCTTGAACTGAGAGTTTCAAAAAGGTCGTTTGTAATACAAGTCTACATGGCACCTTAAACGGTCTGTCTGAGTCGCACTCGCTGCAGGGTGGGCACGAGAATTTCGATCGGTTCTAAAAAGTTTATCTGCAGACTAAAATGTACGTTTTCACACCGTCACTGCGGTCAATACTCAATGTTACACTGCACATGCCAAAGTATTTAATCTGCAGCGACGTTTGTACTAATAATATTGAACGCGTGTAAGAAAGAAATTTTTCTCACCAAAACTAAAACATGTGTTTCGTGAATAGYATTTTATATTATTATCGCAATGTGCATCGTTCATGTAACATATGTAACGGTGGCTTTAACTTAAAATTTATGTGACAATACTTTTTAATGTTTACAAGTCTAAATCGGTAAATGTATACAAGAATAATATTTCTATATAAGTTATTACTATGGTATTATTATGTATAAAATATAATATTGTTCATTATTATATTTTACAAATGAATAATAATTATTGTAATTTTATTTATTATTTATGTTTGTTTTCTAATGTAGATATTAWATATACTTTTATCAATAATAAATCTATACTAGGCTGTGCTTACTGCTGATTGTTATATTAAGTATTTCAAATATATACATTGTAGTAAAAATGATAACATATATTAAAAATAAATGAAATTATTAGACACAACAAAATAATACAAATAATATAATAATAACACTTTTACAACGTATTAGTACAGAATCAAATAATAATTGGAAAATGGAATCAAAAACCTCTGCCAAATGAAATGCTCATACGTGATACCCACAAATATGCTATAATTCATTTTGCTAATTTGTTTATTTCCAATTCGTTTTAGTTAATGCACGTGGCACGTGTGCCGATTTAAGTTATTATTTAGCATAATCGAATAACACTTTTACAACGTATTAGTACAGAATCAAATAATAATTGGAAAATGGAATCAAAAACCTCTGCCAAATGAAATGCTCATACGTGATACCCACAAATATGCTATAATTCATTTTGCTAATTTGTTTATTTCCAATTCGTTTTAGTTAATCTACTGTATAATGTATGTATAATATTTTATTCGATTATGCTAAATAATAACTTAAATCGGCACACGTGCCACGTGCATTAATAATAACAGTAACAATGTGTAATAACAATATTTAATAGTTCAGTCGTTTAGAGGGATATTATTTTTTTTGTATTTTATATTACGCACTGTATAACCTSTAAATTGAAACGTAATGAAAAATAACTGACGTTAGTATAATATATGATGTTGAGCGCATGTGTATTATTTATTGTTAAACTTGCGTTTACTTTACTGTGGTACAGTGAAATCTGTGTTATGAATGAGAGATAGCCATGGATAGGTATTAGGTACCATCATCAGTGAATACCTGTGATAAGTAGCGWAAGTTTAAGAATTCGGCCCCAAAAAAAGATATATAAAAACTTCAATGGACATGTTATACTCAGATTAATTGTAAAATAATACAAATATATAGATATACATATATATTTAATTTAATATTTAGGTATAACAGTTAAATTTTTGTTTTACGGGCTTTTAATTCGTTAAGTACCTAGTCAGTAATCTTTGTAATGTCGATGAGTTCTGCTGTATGTAATCGTTTAAACGATTCAAATAATCAAGGGGTATAGGTATTCGTATATATTAAAATTAATATTCTTAAACAAAATATTAAAATTAATAATAATTTTTTTTTTTTAAATTTCCGCCCAAATATAGTTCGCCAGGTATAAAAACTAAAATAATGTTTTGGAAATTCCGAAAAACTTGAGAGCCCTAATGCACACGTATTCCCCTCATTGCCGTATATCCACACTGCGCGTGATGTGTACCTACTTAAGATAAAATATTTTAATAAGCTTACCGTCGCGGTRTCGACGGTTTGTGCGTGATTGGCGATAAAATTTAAACCGGTACAACAGAATATACAGACAAAAATATGCCAACGAATATCTGGACCATAAATGTTTGTATATATTATATTCAAACAAAAATAAACTGTATATATCGTAAKGGGAGGGAAAAGTTGTAGTGTGAGGTCGAATGCGTTTCGCCGTTTTTGAGTGCGAGTTTGGACCGCTATATTATACCTCGTAAAAATAAGCGTATTTGGTTTTATATAAATATAACTTCGAAATCAAACTACCGGATGAGTGACGAGCGAATTGGTGTGATCGTGATAATAATAATAATACATTTTTCCGCGGAAAAACGAGTGAGCCGACCGCTTCGAGCGGAACACAYGACATTATAAACCGTATATAGATATATACGAACGTGATATTATGTGCACGGCGATGGACAATCGCCGTGGAAAATCGACGAGTTACGTTGTAATTATTATTATAACGTGCGTCCGAARTTTCGGACCGTGAAAACCGATGCTTCGGAAAATCGCATCGGACGTGTTTTCACGAGTGACCGGACGTCCGTCGGTTGAATTCGTTTCGCGCCGCACAGGCCACCGGATATCGACGGGTATCAACAGTATATTACCGCAAGAGGGACCAGCCGAAAGGGGACGCGCTACTATATCCATGCAGTAACAATAATAATAATAATTATTATTACATCGAGTCGGACCGTCAGCGGTGGCGGCCGCGACGGAAATCTCGTTTAAATGTAAATATATTATATTATATTATACTATCGGAGGGACGCGGCTCGATAACCGATCGGTTTTCCAGCGGACTGTCGCAGGAAACCAAACGGGTCGCGCGTGCTGCGAAATTGATATACCATACACCAACACCACCGACGACAATAATAATAGTAAAAGTTGTTATATAG